GTGCCTGGGGGTCAGAAGCCAGAGAATGCCAAACCCAACCGAGACCTAAAAGTGCAGGCTGACTCTGACCTGCGGAGGAGACGGCGGGATCTTGCCTCTCATGCAGAGCAGGAGCTGGCTCCCAAGGATGCGGTCGTCATCAGCTTTAACTCCCTCCCTAGTGTACAGGTGAATGACCTCCGCAGCGCTCTGGACACCCAGCTCCGCCAGGCTGCAGGGGCCGCGTTACACGTGGTCCACAGCCGGCAGATTAAACAGTTGTCTGGAGAGCTGGAGGAAGCCTGAGAACCTGGTCAGGGAAAGGCTGCTGCTAGACGTTGGATGGCACCCTGACTGGAGGCCAGTCTTCTGTTCCCAGGGATTGGTATCTAAGCCTCTCATGATGAGTTGTCAAAGTCTAACCTGCCACCCCACCCTAGACATCTGTCACTCTGTGGCATCCCTTGCTCCAAGGCTACACCAAAGCATTCACTGGCCCGAGTATGGTTTGGGTCTTGAGCCAGCCCAGGGAAAGGCAGTGCTAAGGTTCAGCTCTGATGCTGCACTGTGGCTGCACCTCGTCTGTTCTGCCAGTGGCAGTGCTGACAGCAAGGCAGGCGACTTTGAAGGTACCAGTCTTCATCTAACTTGCAACCTGTGACAACCAGATTCCACTGACAAGATGCATCCCATGTTCTCCAAAGGGTGTGAAACCTGCACCAGCCATGTCTGTCTGCCCTGGGGTGGCCCAGGGGTGGGTATGACTTGACTTGGGTTGGGGAAGGAGGCACATGACCCTCATGGTTTTTATCATCCACATTCTTTGAAACTGATTATGAAACAAAAAATAAAATGCCAGTAATAAGTAGCGAGCCAAGTTGGTTTACCTAAAGGAAAACATGTTCAGGATCCTGGACAATACCAAACAGCCTAGAGGCCATGGGACACACTCCCCAGCTGATCCCTGTTGTAGGCAGGTTCAACAATGAGCACAGGCTTGCCCAGCAAGCCCTGGGATGTCTCATTTGTTGTTCTGTATCTGCATGGCTTCACGCTCAGAGTAGAGCTGCCCTCTGTCTAGCCAGTACTGCTGTCAGGGCTGTGTCTTGGGAGTCAAAGCAGGAAGACATGACCCTGTTGTCTTCGAGCAGAGAACACTGTTGTTTTGTCACTCCCTTGCCCCACTATGAAGATTGAGGGACAAGACCTTGGCTTGTCCCCAAGCCCTGCCATGAAGGGCCTGGAAGGACCAGGCCTCATCCTAGTGTGTACATTCTGCACCTCTTGAAATATATTTTATTACAGTTTTTTTTTTTAAAAAAATGTAGACTTATTTATGCATATTAATGTTCCCTTTACCTCTCTCTGTACCAGATACATGCAGTGCTTTGGATGTCAGAGAGGGTCAGGCTTCCTCCCATCCTTCCTCTGACTGAAACCAGTTCCACATACAGCAGTTTGGTGGGAAGCCGCCATCTGGCCTCCCCCTCAGACTGGAACTCTTGTAACCTTGCTGGGACTGGGGCTTCCACATAGCTTGATAGTCCTGAGGCCATTCTGTTCTCCCTGGTCTCTGAGACTCTGTTCTAAAAGTAGACAGGCTGTCCCGGTCCCCAGCTCTTCCTCCTAGCTCTCTCTCTAACCCTGCAGTCATCAGCCTTTAGGTGAGGGCACTTTGTCTTAGAAAACACAGACCTACAGATTGTGTGTGTGTGTGTGGGGGGGGGGGGGTTGTTGCTGATAAACTCTAAAAATGCTGAGGCGGACAGTACACCCAGCTGGGTCCTGTAAAACCTGGGTCAGCAGCCTGCCAATTCAGCTACTACCTCTAGCAGGTGTTGGGTCAGGTCCACCTGGTACAGGCAGGCTACTGGAACTCGATGCCTGCCCACAGATGATTCTGCTGTAGAGCAGGTGTGCCCGGTAGCAGTGGTACCAGGCTAGGATGCATGCTTCTGTAGCAAAGGGGAAAGCCCAAGCTCTCAAGGGAACAGAGCTGGGGTAGGAATGGCACACACCTTTAATCCCAGCACTTGGGAGGCAGAGGCAGGTGGGTGGATCTCTGAGTTCGAGGCCAGCCTGGTCTGCATAGTGAGCTCCAGGACAGCCAAGGCTACAAAGAGAAACCCTGCCTCAAAAACAAGACAAACCAGATTTCATCTGAGGCCGAGACGTTTGCTGTGGTTCGGTGTGGCCTAAGATGCAGGGTTCAGAGTAGGAGAAGCTGGATGATGTCTGAAGTGCTTAGAATACACAGGTAGTTCACCAAGGCAACCTCTGACTGTGCTCTTGCCCAGTGAAGATTCAGGAGGAGGCCCTCACAGTACTAGAACTTGACTGGCAACCTCTGGGCTTCCAGGCTGTGAGGAATACTTTTGTATTCTTTATAACTCCCCTTGTCTCAACAGTCTGCTACAACAGTTGCAGCAGACTGACTGCATGCTTGAGCAGTTGGTGCTATGTGGCTGATCCAGCCTTGGAAGCTGTCTCTACTGTAGCCAGGGAGTGCACTCCGAGCCTGAGTGTGCAGGCCTGAGACGTGCAGGTGCAGAGGCCACAGGAGCTGCTCAGCTTCGTTTCTTTGGCTCAGTTTCAGTACCAAGGTTGCCTGGCCCGTGGGATCAGTCCAGACAGCACTGTAGCACACGCATATGGTAGGTTCTCCATGTCCTGTTGGACAGGAACTGAGGACGGGGCATAATGTCCATAAGCAGGCCTGCAGTGACCTACTTCCTCAAGTTTCTAGGACCTCCAAAATAGAACCACTAGCTGCAGACCAAGACTTCACTAACATTAGTCCATGGGATAAGGTTTGTGTGTACAAGAATCTAATATTCAAATCATGACAGCTGGAAGGAGTCATAGATAGCCCTGGAGGCCTGGGATATCTATGCAGGGCCATGAAAAGCGGTGGACATGTCTGCCTCCTTGGGGTTAAAGTGGAAGATAAAGAGACGGAGAACTTTTTGCCACAAGTTTGAGGGGGCCGAGTTCAGTGAGGCCCAAAGTTGGGAGTCTTCAGGGAGAAGATGCAAGAAGCTACCGTCAGTGCACTTTCATGAGAATTTGAAGATGGTACTGGCAGGCTGAGAAGTCTGAGGAGGCTGATCTTGGGCTGTAAGCTCTTGAGAACATGAAGAATACTCAGGGAGTGCTTCTGGTTTTTTGGTTTGTTGTTGTATTGTGTTTTTGTTTTTGTTTTTCTTCCCAAGAGAGGGTTTCTCTGTGTAGCCCTGGCTGTCCTGGAACTCACTCTGCAGACCAGGCTAGCCTCCAACTCAGAAATCCACCTGCCTCTGCCTCCCAAGTGCTGGGATTAAAGGCGTGTGTCACCACCGCCCGGTTTAGGGAGTGCTCTGACCTGTGGAGAACTATCTATAATCCCTGGGCAATTACACCAACATCTGGTCTATTGAGACCTAACATCACCCTGTCCATTGAGGCAGAATCCTACCTGCTCTGGCTCTCCGTAAGTTAAGCCAAGAAGTCATGTCTTTAGACGGACTCAAGTCTATTAAACATGGGTTTTCTAGAAGCTGGAGAGATGGCCTAACAGTTAAAAGCACTTGTTGCTCTTGTAAAGGACCCAGGTTTGATTCCCAGCATCCACATGGCAGCTCACAACTCTCTGCAATTCCAGTTCCAGGGGATCCAACACCTTTGTGCCTCCCTGCCCACAAGTGTACACATGTACGTGCAGCTACAACACCCGTACACATTGAATACATAAATCTTAAAAAGCCTGGTTTTCCCGCATGGTCAGGCCAGTTCCAGATTGGCAGTTAGATACCACATGGAGGCGCAGATTTGGGCATAGAGTGTAGGGCATGATAATCCCTGGCCCTAGCCCTGTTCCCAGGAACCAGAGTTCTAAAATGGGTGCCAACTGTTAAGGACAGCATGACCTTCACACCTAAGAGAAACCGGACTGAGTAGTCCCTAGGTTCCCCAGCAGGTGGCAGTCACACACACAATCCTTCTGCACTCTGAATTTGTCTTAAGCCCACTGCTAAGAAGAATGAAGGCCAGGGGCCATCATCCATGACAGGCTGCAGGGATGGCTGACACCGAAGGTCCAAAGAGAACATCCTTGTTGGCTTTTGTCCAGAAAAGCCTCTGCTCAGTTCCTAGGCAGCCATCCATAGGGCATTTCTTTTTTTTTTTTTGGGGGGGGGGTTTGAGACAGGGTTTCTCTGTGTAGCCCTGGCTGTCCTGGAACTCACTCTGTAGACCAGACTGGCCTCGAACTCAGAAATCCGCCTGCCTCTGCCTCCCAAGCGCTGGGATTAAAGGTGTGCGCCACCACCGCCCAGCCCATAGGGCACTTCTTATACCGTAGGCTAGTTCCTTATGCTACTGCTGTGTTAATCTTTGCCTTACTCTAAGCTGTCAGATCCAGGGGTTTGGTGAGCCAGACTTAGACTGAATACTTTTGATGAGTAGGGTTTTTTGTTTTGTTTTGTTTTAAGATTCATATGTATGTTTTGCATGTATGTCTGTGTACCACGTGTGTGCCTGGTTCCTGCAAAAGTCAGAAGAGGGTGCTGGATCTCTTGGAACTGGAGTTAAAGATGGTTGTGAGCTGCCATGTAAGTGCTAGCAACTGAACCTGAGTCTTCTAAAAGAGTAACAGGTGCTTTTAACTGTTGAACAATCTCTCCGGCCCATGGTGAGAACAGGTTTTTTTTGTTTGGTTTGGTGTTTTTTTGTTTGTATTTTTAAAATTTGTTTTTTTTTTTTTTTGAAATGGTTGTTTGTGTAACAAACTTGCTTTGTAAACCAGGCTGGCCTCAAACTCATAGAGATTCACCTGTCTCTGCCTCCTGAGTGCTGGGATTAATGGTATGCGCCACCACAGCCAGCTGAGAGCAGTTTTAAATGAGGACCCCGGGGCAGAGAGTTCTATGGTCCAGTCCTGCCACCTTTGTGGGGTGGGGGTGCAGGTGTACTGGATAGTCTGTCCTTAGGAGAGACCAGTCCCTTATACCATGCTTCATATATAAAAGTCAGAAACTATTAAATCATTTTCAAGTTCATCTTAATCAGGTCCAGATCCTCATGTACACAGTGCTCGTAAACAACGCTGCCCTGCCCACGTTTCAAGGTGGGAAGAACCATGAAATACCAGGAACTTTACTACCCACATTTTTCTTTCAGTCCCCAAAGGTCTCCATGTGTGCCGTCAATACAAGGCGCCTGTGCCCACTGCTCTTCCTAGGAGCCTCCCACCATGGTCTTCTTGGCCTGAAAGAGAAAGCAGTTTGTTTCAGTGACTTATTTCCAATTTAGATATGACTTAAAAGCATGACGTCTACCATATCAAATGCCACATTCTCCCAAACACTAGAGAACTGAGGTGCTGGTGTGTGTGTGTGGGGTGTCCCAGCCTGAGCTCACCTACTGAGGAAGCCTGGACCCTGAGATTGAGGAGATTGAGGAGAGGTTCTGTTATGTGCTGGGCAGGATAAGGAGCCATAGTAGGTCCAGGCAAAAAAGGAGATGGAGTCAACAGCTCACCAGCCACACAATTCTGGTCAACCCCAGAGAGGGTGGCAGAGACAGCAGAAACTATGAAGATTAGGAGTGTGTCTAGGATTTCAATGACAGCTGCTGGCCACCAACCACAAGAGTAAAGGCTTGTCTGGTTGCCTTCCCACTCGGGGAGGGGAAGAGGGTTGGAAGGCAGCCAAAAGTCAGGGATCAAGTTAGAAGAAGCAAGAAAAGCGCAACACCTGATGACTGAACAGCCTCTGCTGAGAAACTAGTCAAAGGCTGGAGTTAGGCTAGGATGTAATAAACTCAAGAAAAGTTTAGGTCTCCCAAACACTGCCTAAGGCTACTGTGGAATATTAGCACACTGCTTGACCATGGCAAGGCAAAGACACAGGGGACTTGAAGTGGAGGGGTCATAGGCAGAAGACCGGGATCAAGAGCCTGAGCGTCTCTCATCTCTCTCTCTCTCTCTCTCTCTCTCTCTCTCTCTTTTTCTTTCTTCTTTTCCTTTTTTTCTCGTCTCTCATCTCTTCTGTGCTACTATGAGAACTAGCTACGGACACTACACTTTACTCTCCGGTGAAAGGGGTGCCTAGCAGGACACTCCCTGCACAGAACCTTCTGAGAGAATACAAGTAGAGCTGGGGTCCGGTCTGATCAGGTTGCCCTTCGGCAAAGTGCCAACAGTCAACAGATGGCCTTCCACCCTTTCACTGATCCTTCCTGGAATTGTTTGACAGAAAAAGGATGCTTGGCCTTGCCTTAAAGCAGCGGAAAAGGCAAGCCAGACAGGGACGACGCAGCGGGGACACGCCCACCTACCGCGGCGGCGAAGCAGCTCCGCAGGGCCTCGAACTCGCGCACGCACAGGTCCTTACTCAGGCGGCCTCCTGGGGCGGTGGAGGCCTGCACGCACTTGCCATACGCCGAGGCCTGAGGGAAGACCGGACGGTACTGGAGCCTGACCAGAGTCACCACCCATCCCGCTTCCGCTTACCCTGCAGGCCCAGCCCCGTCCACTCCTTACCTCAGCTCCGCAGGCCGCCAGATGCTCCGGGAAGGCTCGGAGACGGTTCCGCACACGCCCCCACACTGCCCCGTGGACAGACATGAGCGGGTCTTTCACGCCCTTGTGGGCGCCGCCATCTTGGGCCCTGCCTCTTCCGGAGTCGAATGCGCGAACATCCGGTCTCTCCGCCTATACTGTTTTCTGGTTGGTCAGAGTCGCAGTCCTGTGCTTCTATAATTGGTAGTAGTCCTTGTCCGTCTCTCCCTGGGACTTTGGACTAGCTGAGGCTCAGATGTTTCCGCCTTTTTGCCCGCCCCCTGCGAACGATTGGCTGGGGGGGAGCCAGAGAAGCGCGACGATTGGAGGATCGAAGCCTGGCGGAAGCGGGGCAGGTTGGGAGGTTACCTGGACCATGGCGGCTGTGCCGCCGCTGCGGGACCGCTTGAGCTTCCTACATAGGGTGAGTGAAACTCGCCGGGTGTGCTGAGACCCGGCGCCCGGGGACCTCGCTGGGTTAGCAGGGACAGACTGTCCAGAAGTTTCCGAGAATGAGTGGACCTGCTGTAATAGCAGGAGGTTAACCCCAAGGGCGGCGGGCGAGCTCCAGCGGGGCCCATCCGCTCTTCCCAGAAGATCCTGGAAACTTGTACACCTCCAGGGGACGGGAGCATGGAGAGGGCGGAGCCTGTGGCCGGCTGTTAACTGAAACATCGATTGCCCTGAGCTTTCTCTCTGGAGCTTGAGGGCACTGAGTGGCCCCAGGGACCCTTCTTAGGCTTTTAAGAATCTCTACTACAAGAGATCAGATCTCTCACATAAAGGCTGGGACAAGTTCTCAAGTTCTAAACTGTGCAGCTCGATTCCTTCAGATCCCCTTGAAGGCACTGTGAACAAATAGTATGGTGAGGGCATACTTGTCTTAAATATTCTCAAACAAGACTTCTTATCCAGATACTGATGGGTGAAATGAGATGTTTCCAGATTTCAACCAAATAAACAACATATGCTTGCAGTGACAGGCAAGGCAGTAAATAAGCCGGCACAACCATGCTGATTCATGACTGGATAAAATCGAAATTCGCCAACCTTAAGGAGCCATGAAGCCCCGCCCCCCCAAACTGGGCGGTTCTTACTCCTTGGGTCTGTACTCAGGAGGGCTGGCATCTAGCCCATCCAATGCACAGAAAGCCCCGAGATTCTTGCTGTTGCTGGTTCATAAGTAGGTAGATTTGAAATATCCTCACACTTACGAGTGTAGGAGGCTGGAGCTGAACCTCATCTTGACTGAGTTACAGAACCTTCATTGATTTTTCTCTTTCCTGGGCCGCTCCTCCATGCGGGAGCAGAGCCTGTTTGCAGCTCTGCCTTGTGGCCCTTAGGATAATTGTGGTTCTGCCCAGGCTCTCTCCTGGGCAGTTTCAGCACCAGTCAGTGTGAGGCTTGCTTCCCCTTTAATAGCTAGGACCTACTCTGTATAAGATGGCCGCTCACCATGGCCCTTATTCCTCTTCAGCTCCCCATTCTCTTGAAGGGGACCTCAGACGATGACATCCCTTGTCCAGGCTACCTGTTTGAAGAGATTGCCAGTATCCTTCTGCACCGTTCCCATTGGTGGGTTTAGGGTTTAGTAAACAGTGGGGATCCTGACATAGCAGGGAGGATTACTGGACAAGGGTGGGGTCTTCTGCTATTCCAGGAGTACCAACAACTTCTTTTTCCTAGTATCCAGATATGTGGGGGTGGGGGTGGGGGTCGGGGGGATTAAAAACTGCAAATATCAGTGGTGTAGACACTGGGACACACTAAAAGTTCCAGTGCTGGTTAAACCAAAGCCTGTGGTAGTAGTCTTCATAGAGTGAGACCTGAGAAGACCCGTGGTCGTAGAAGGGCAAGTCTGTCTCAGCCAGTAGATCTTTCCTGGTATGGCCTGTGTCAGCCTGCAGCCTGCTTCCCTAACCCAGATGACTCTCAGAGATCTCCCACGAGTCCCTGGGCAGCAGCCAGTGCCTGCTGGAGTACCTCCTGAACCGTCTGGACAGTAGCTCTGGCCACGTGAAACTCAAGGTGAGTCCTGGGGTGGCAGGCAGGAGGTGTGGCCTCAGTTCCGCCACCAGGTGCCAGCCCCATGAATCTGTCGGCTCTTCAGGTGCTGAAGATCTTGCTTTACCTGTGTGGTCACGGCTCGTCCTCCTTCCTGCTCATCCTCAGGAGAAACTCTGCTCTCATCCAGGAAGCCACAGGTATGGAAAGACACAGGCATGCCCAGGGAAAGCAGGGGGTGGGTGTAGGTATACCCAACCTTGGGTGCTATGCTTGAGGTCCTGACTGGTCTGAGCTTGTAAATGGAAAAGGTGTCTGTGCTGGAGGTACCCACTAAGGATTCTCTGAGGAATGGCTCTTAGCCCTGAAAGGATGAGGCAGAGCTGACAGGTATAGGTGTGCTGTGGTATACGCCAGCATGTGCAAAGGCCCCAAGGTGCTGTGGTATACACCAGCATGTGCCAAGGCCCCGAGGTGCTGTGGTATACACCAGCATGTGCAAAGATCCTGTGGTGCTGTGGTATACACCAGCATGTACAAAGGCCCTGTGGTGCTGTGGTATACACCAGCATGTACAAAGGCCCTGTGGTGCTGTGGTATACACCAGCATGTGCAAAGGCCCTGTGGTACTGTGGTATACACCAGCATGTACAAAGGCCCTGTGGTGCTGTGGTATACACCAGCATGTACAAAGGCCCTGTGGTGCTGTGGTATACACCAGCATGTACAAAGGCCCTGTGGTACTGTGGTATACACCAGCATGTGCAAAGGCCCTGTGGTACTGTGGTATACGCCAGCATGTACAAAGGCCCTGTGGTACTGTGGTATACGCCAGCATGTACAAAGGCCGTGAGCTAAGGAAAGCTTGGAGATGGCTTAATGTGGTGTAAGAAAACCGTATTTTCCGTGAGGGAACCTTCTTATCAGAGGGAGTTTAGCTCAGGCTGAACCAGCCTGGGAATCAGGGGTAAAACCATACCTAAAAGGTCTTGACAAAGACCTCAGGTCTACCATGCAGGCCCTGAGAAACTGCTAATGGGGGAGATACAGGTGGGTGGAAGAGAATGGACCCAAGGAAGCAGTTAGGCAGGCATAACTCCAGCGTGTGTGGGGGGCGTGAGGGGTCTGTCTCTGGCTATCATAGAGGTAGATGGTGGATCCGCTACCTCGAGTGGCCAAGGGAGAATGTTAAATGTTATATCCCTGACCCCCTGAGGAGGGAGCTGGGGATATACCATCAGGGAGGGTTGGCCTTCTCTGTGGGTAGCAAATGGTGCCCAGGCTCAGCCCATCCCATCTGTCTTGTGCCTGCAGCTTTCGCGGGGCCTCCGGATCCTCTTCATGGAAATAGCCTGTACCAGAAGGTGCGGGCGGCTGCCCAGGTGAGCCCTGGATAGAGTCACTGCGTGGAGTGCAGGGCGACAGAATGTCTGTGAGGTGCTTGCTGTTTTCCTGCCACACGGGGCCCGGCTCTCTCCTCCCTCCTGAGCCACAGCCCCTGCGCTTGGTCAGACAACTCAAGAGAGGTGTCTGCAGGCGGTGGTGGCGCACGCCTTTAATCCCAGCACCTGGGAGGCAGAGGCAGGTGGATTTCTGAGTTCGAGGCCAGCCTGGTCTACAGAGTGAGTTCCAGGACAGCCTGGACTGCACAGAGAAACCCTGTCTCGAAAAACAAACAAACAAAAAAAAAAAAAAAGAGAGAGGTGTCTGAAACAGAGCAGAGCTGGTGGGGACGGCAGAAGAGTAGGCTCGAGTGGGACTCAGCACCTGCCCGCTTCTTCGTTTAGGACCTGGGTAGCACCCTGTTCTCAGACGCCATGCCACAGCCTCCCTCCCAGCCACCCCAGATCCTGCCTCCTGCAGGTATGCCACTCTGGTGACCAACCCCAGCCATCATCAGAGGTTGTCCCCTTGGTGTCCTAGATGTCTCTGTACGTGTGGGCAGGGCTTGGGGAGGCCTGCACTGACGCCAGTGTCTTTTAGGCATGGGTGCCCAGGCCCGACCTCATAGTGCCCTGCAGGGCTTCGGCTACACTAAGGAGAGCGGCCGCACAGGTAAGATACAGGGCCCTTGAGTAGAGAAATGAAGGGATCGGGCTGGATGGTGGTGTACAAATTTAATCTCAGCACTCAGAAGGCAGAGATAGACAGATCTGTGAGTTTGAGGCCACTCTGGTCCAGGACAACCAGGGCTACACACACACACACACACATACACACACACACACACACACACACACACACACACACACACACTGTCTCAAAAAAGAAAAAAAGAATGTATTCCTGTAGAGGTCAGAGCCAGGCCTCGCTGCCATCAACACTAGCTGTCCCCCAAGGGTACACATGTGGACATGTTCCTTCCTGCCTGTGCTCTCATGCTGTCTCCTCTGCCCAACTGAGAGGAAGGCAGGTCAAGAGTGGCCAGGTCTACTTGGTGGCCAGGAAGGAGAAGCTAGACTTAAGTCCAGCTGGCCATGCTGGCCTTTTGTGTTGCTTGAGGGGCAAGGATCCAAGCCGTGACAGGAACCTAGAGGGTCATCTGTGCAGGTGGTAACAGTGTAGTGTGTGTGGGTCCTGTTCATTGGACACTTGAAGTTTGTTGAAGGTCTATACAACAGCACAGAACAGCAAGTTATCTCAGCTGTCCTTGGGGTGGGTGCTGGGCTGTGTCCAACTATGTGCTCGGAGCTGCACAGATGGGCCTTCCTGCAGCTCAGGGGCTTCTGCCTGATGCTTTAACTTGGAAGTTTCTTCTTCAGGGAGCTCATAGGCAAGGGTGGACCCCTGGCCATCCTTCTGTGAATGTTTGCACCCCTTGAGTGAAGGGACGAGGACAGTTTTACTGCCCAGGGCAGCCCCTGTAGAAGTCCCAGGATCACTTGCTATAAGCTAAGTGTCTAGACCACAGTGCGGCTGCTCTACTCTACCTGTAGCGTGTGCTACCCCCATAGCTCTGCAGACCTGTAGCCTGTGTCTCTACCCTCATAGCTCTGAGCAAACGGTAGCCCTGGCCCTATCCTGGAGAATATGGTCGGAGGTAGGGGAGGGGCTGGGGTGCTAATATGTCCTCCTCTGTGTGCAGGCTCTGCAGGTGAGACCTTCCTCTCCACCATCCAGAGGGCCGCAGAGGTGGTGGCTAACGCTGTGCGTCCTGGGCCTGATAATCCTTGTGCCAAGGGACCCTTGCCATATGGTGATACCTACCAGCCTGCAGTGACACCTTCAGCTAGCCACACACATGCCCACCCTGGGAATCTACTCCCTGGGGCCGTCCTGGGAACGAGAGGTGTGGAGGCAAGGTTGCTACCCTTAGGGGTCCAGATGGTTCCTTCATGCTTAGGCGAGAGTGTCACAAGGGCAGTAGGCAGGAAGCACTTAATCCATTTTGTGTGCTTGGAGTCTCTGGAGCTGTCTTGTAAGCTCAGGACATGACCCCTTGTCTCCTAGCCCAGAGTCCCTAAGAAGGTAGTGTGAGGTCTGTGGAAAGCCCTGGGCCATAACTGCCATTCTGATCTCTTTCAGCTGTGAGACACCAGCCGGGACAGGCTGGAGGAGGCTGGGATGAGCTGGACAGCAGTCCTAGTTCCCAGAATTCCTCCTGCACCAGCAACCTGAGCAGGGCCTCAGACTCAGGCAGTCGGTCTGGCAGTGACAGCCACTCTGGTGCCAGCAGGGAGCCAGGCGACCTGGCAGAGAGGTATGTGGAGACACCTCTCCCAGAGGGACTGTCAACAGGCTCCCTGACCTCCACGCCATCCCTTACCCCACGGTGGGAGCTTGAGCATGCTGTCCCACTCATCTCCCTGAGCCCTTGATACCTGACTTGGCCCTGCTGTTGTGCTTTTCCCAGGGCTGAGGCCATGCCCCCAAATGACTGCCAGCAAGAACTGAATCTTGTGAGGACTGTGACACAGGGGCCACGTGTCTTCCTGAGCCGTGAGGAGACACAGCACTTCATCAAAGAGTGAGCTGCCCACCTGCGTGCGCCTGCCCCGAGGGAGGAGGGGACTTGCTGTGGCTGCCCCCTCCCATATGTCCCCTCCCTGTACAGGTGCGGCCTGCTCAACTGTGAGGCTGTGCTGGAGCTGCTCCTCCACCAGCTGGTCGGGACCAGCGAATGTGAGCAGATGGTGAGGATGACAGGGAGCTCTACGCATGTGGGGGAGTGGGGGGAGGCACGTGCACGGGAACGGGGCTGCGTGGGTCTGTGTGGTGACACGAAGACAGCAGGGCACCCGTGGCTGACAGGGTCCACCTGAGAACGTGGAGAAGGTGGTGGGGACAGCACGCCTAGTATCTCCTCCTCATCCAATGCCAAGACAGAAGAGGGCGGGGCCCCACACGAGCCTGAGTGAGGCGCCATGAGACGCTGACTCCCGTTCCCCCCTCCTTCGGGTCCACAGAGGGCGCTGTGTGCCATCGCGTCCTTTGGGAGTGCTGACCTCTTGCCTCAGGAGCACGTCCTCCTCTTGTGCCGGCAGCAGCTGCAGGAACTTGGTGCGGGCAGCCCTGGACCTGTGACTAACAAAGCCACCAAGGTGGGCAGTGGGCCCTGGGAACGAGCGGCAGCCTGTCTCAGCACTCACGGCCCTGAGTGGGCCCAGCCCTACAGCCTTGCCTACTGGCTGGTGCCCACTTCCCTCTGACTGGCACAGTGGGTGCCTTGGCCTCCTTCCTTACCTGAACACCACCCACTCACTCCTGTCCCCAGCTCACCACCGTGTGTGCTGCACACACTCACCTGCTCCAGAAAGTCTTCTTTGGGGATAGTTCACCCTGCCTCATCTCAAGAGTCTGATCCATGTCCCTGGGCCCCCCCATAAGTGCCCTTTTGTCTGCTTGGCTGCATCCCTAGCTGGTTGGTTGGTTTATTTGATTAATCGATTGTTTACATTTTGATACAGGGTCTCACTATGTGGCCCTGGCTGGCCTGGAACTCACTGGATAGACCAGGCTGGCCATTGACTCACAAAGATCTGCCTGCCTCTGCCTCCCGAGCACTGGATTAAAGGCATGGCCACACACCTGGCTAGGGTCTCCTGTTTTCTCTGTGCTACTAAATTTGTCACAACCTCTTTAGTCCAGGTTGGCCGATATATACTGTTAGCACCTGTTAATTTTCTTTTGGTCACAACATCCAGTAAACTTGGGGTAACACTGCAGGAACGTGTATCCAGAGTAACCAGATACGTCGGGTCTCCTGGGTCCCCTGGAAGGTTCTGAGGCTGGGACTGCCCATCCATCTGTTCAGTAGGGCATGTTTCATGCCATTTCATGACTCTGGATGCCTGCCTGTACTAAAAAAAAATAAGCCTCGTCCCTCAATGGTTTCTAGCACTAAGCAGGAACCCCCGACTCCTTCTTGTTTTCCTCTAGATCCTGAGACACTTTGAAGCCTCCTGTGGACAGCAGCTCCCTACCCTGAGGCCCTGTGCCCAGCCCAACTCTACAGCTGCCCTTGTGGGTCCAGCGGACCTGCTGACCAGCCCGGTGCCTCCCCCCGGGAGCCAGGTCTTCCTCCAGCCTCTTAGCTCCACCACAGCTGTGCCCAGGAGTCCTGTGCCCACTCCATCCCCAGATCCCCTACCTCCTCCTGCTCTGGAGGATGCCACTGAGGTCAGAACCCAGTTGGTATGTTCCAGTGAACAAGGGACAGGATCTGAGCAGAGGCTGGAGAACACAGACACCCCAGAGGGTAGCTCCACTTCCAGCCTGTGGAGCCCCAGCTCTCTGTTTGCTGGCATGGAGCTGGTGGCTTGCCCCCGCCTGCCCTGCCCCCGCACCCAGGAGCTCCAGGCAGATTTACAGAAGGTGACCACAGACACTCCGATTTCAGAGCCATCAGCTTTTGCATTTTTAAACATGTGACTTTCTGGGCCCAGCTGTACAGAGTCCCTTGTGGTCTTCATATGGAGGCCTTGGGACCTATGGCTTCTTGTCCTTAGGTTCAAAGGAGCGGTCCTTTGGTGTCTTCTGGCTGGCCTTTTGCCCCCTCTGGCCCCTTCCTTTCACCTAGGAAACTGGTACAGCGGTCTTTGATCCGAGTGAGCCCTGGATGGGCCTCCCAGTGCTCAGAATAGTCACTGAAGAAGGCATATGGGCCTGTAGTGCTGACCAGCCAACCTGGAGGTGTGGAAATATGGTCAACTGGTGCCTCAGATGTTTGCAGACCCATTGCTGCTTGGGAATTGACTCTGACCATGACCCTGAGATTGGCTTCCCTCTTCTTCCTGGCACATAGACCTTCTTAGTGGTCTGTCCATAACTGGAGTCTGCCTCAGAGGTCTCCTGCTTCGTGCAGTACATCTGCAGGGCAGGACTTCCCCAGGGCTGTTAACCACAGCCCCTCCACCCCATGCTGTCCTGTCTCTAGGAGGCTGAACACTGAACTCTCACACCCAACTCCCAGGCTACCTCAGTCCCAGTCAGACCTGTCCCATTGCTAGGTGCTGGCAATGATTGTATGGACTTGAATTCCTATAGTGACAGCCAGCGGGCAGCAAGGCTGCAGGGCTGACCCTGCAGATTACCTTGTCAGCCTGACCCTCAGAAATGAGCGCTTAGTGAGGGTTGGAAACACCGACTTGGTTCACAGTTACATTCTGATCTCTGGTCCTTCCTTAGGGAGGTCAAAGGTCAAAGTAGCTGGGCGCCACAGCCTTGAGGATAGGGCTCTGGGCAGGTGCCTGTGGCCCAGAAGGTCTGGTTCTCAGAGCTTCCTCGGCCATGTGCCCTGTGACCATTTCCAGTGTCGGTCCCTATAGGACTCCAGCTTGCCACAGATTCTGCAGAACACGGGAGGGTCATCCCGTCTCAGAGGAGCCTGTGGGGCTGCGAAATGCACTTTCTCAATAAACACGGATGTTTACACTGCTTGTGCCACTTTGTTTTGTTTAAAAGATTTTATAGGTACACTGTTGCTGTTTTCAGACACACCAGAAGAGGGCATCAGATCCCATTACAGATGGTCATGAGCCACCCTGTGGTTGCTGAAAGTTGAACACAGGACCTCAGGAAGAGCAGTCAGAGCTCTTAACCGCTGAGCCGTCTATTAGACTCTATTTTTTTTTCTTTTTTCAAGACAGGGTTTCTCTGTATAGCGCTGGCTATCCTGGAACTCACTCTGTAGACCAGGCTGGCCTTGAACTCAGAAATCCGCCTGCCTCTGCCTCCCAAGTGCTGGGATTAAAGGTGTTCGCCACCACCACCCGGCCTAGCCCCTATTTTTTATTGTTGTTGTTATTATTCATACCTTGAGAACCTGTTTTCCTGAGTAGAGCAGGTGTTTCCTCAAGCATCTGGTGGAACTCCTCAGGTGCTGCTTTGCCCTCTCCTCAAGGGGCCAGGGGGATATTCTGAACAAAAGTGGTTACGCTGCTCCAGGGTGAGCAGTGAACATGGCTGGAGAGGGGTCATCCTAAACCCCACCAAAGTCTCTGCAGGTGTTCAATTGTGTCAAACACAGAGACTCATGGGAAAACCTCACTGAGAACACAGGATCAGTGGCGTAGCTAGGCTGGTAAAGGCATTTTTACCACACATCCTGACAACCCTGGGATTGAGTACAATCCCTGGGATTCACATGGTAGAAAAAGAAAACTGATCCTTGAAGATTATCCTTACCTCTACATGTATGCCATGGTATGAGTGTGCTCTCATGTGTGCACGCGTGCACACGCACACACACAAAGTTTAAAGCTCAAAACTAGAAAACCACCCAAATTACAAAGTGGGCAAAGGATCTGACAGACACGGAGACAACTGCATGTATGGCAGATGAGCCATGTGGTTTACAAACAACTCACCTGGGGCTGGAGAGATGGCTCAGCGGTTAAGAGCACTGACTGCTCTTTCAGAGGTCCTGAGTTCAATTCCCAGCAACCACGTGGTAGCTCACAACCATCTGTAATGGGATCCGATGCCCTCTTCTGGTGTCTCTGAAGACAACTACAGTGTACTCAACACACACACAACAACAATAACAACAACAAACCATTCCCCTATTAATGTCACTGAAAGAAAAGGACCACAAACACTCCAAGAACCAAGGGAACAGATACCAACTGGAGCTTACTTGACACTGGCAGTGTCTGGAAAACAGTCTGGCGGTTACGGTTACTTAAATAGCACTGGTTCCTGTCCCGGGGATTTGTAGAAGACCAGTGAAAATCTGGGTTTACGTAAAAGCCAGTCAGGGAGTGTCTACAGGTGCTTCCAACATGTGTAACTCAACCATGGAAGAATTCTAGGGGTAAGGTAACATGTTGGCTCCAGCCTGGAGCACTGGAGAGGAACAGCAGAATAAATACCTCAGCTTTCAGGTGGGGCTGTAGGAAGACACTCATTTCTTATCTCCTTATCTCTGAGTTTACTCGAGACAAAACAAAAGGTCCCAACCAGCTGCTGCCCAAAGCAGCTGGGATTAAACAAAGAAAGGCTCTACAGGGGTGTGGGTGTGATGGAAGAGTGACTACATCTGTATGGGTGGTCCAAAGGGTGTAAATTTTGATGTGTATAAACCAAATCTTTCTATCCATTTTTTTTTTTTAAAGAAGCCTCCATCAACGTTTAAAAGCACCTACTATGCTAGATGGTGGTGGTGCACATCTTTAATCCCAACACTTGGGAAGCAGAGGCAGGTGGATCTCTGAGTTCAAGACCAACTTGGTGTACAGAAGGAGTTCCAGAACAACCAAGGCTACATAGAAAAACAAGAAAAGAAAAAAGAAAAGAAAGAAAGCACTTATTTGCATAGGACCTGGGTTTTAGTTCCCAACATCCACATAGCAGTGGCATCCTACAACCATCTCTAAATCCAGTTCCAGCACCCTCAACATGATGCAGAAACATCACATTGTAAATCTTAGAGAGAGAGAGAGGGAGAGGGAGAGAGAGAGAGAGAGAGAGAGAGAGAGAGAGAGAGAGAGAGAGAGAGAGAGAGAGAGGGCTCACCATGTATGGCGGCACTTTGCCTGAATTCCAGATTTAGGAGGTTAAAGCAAAGGATCAGGAATTCCAGGTCATCTCAGCTATATAGTGAGTTTGAGGATAGCCTGGACTACGTGGTATATGAGATGCTTTCTTAGACCAGAAATGGCTGAGGTTCAATGGCAGAGTACTTATTTAGCCCGTGCAAAGCCCTGGGCCACCATCCCAACCTAAACACACACACACACGCACACACACACACACACACACACACGCTTGTTCATAAAATTAATAAATATATGCGGATATTTTTTAAAGCACTTGAGTTTATAAAATTGTTAATGTAACGTCTGTTGGAGAAGGGCTCCTGAGCTTCGGTGTCCCGAACCCTTTGGTAGACAGGAGAGCCCACAACTATACACTAGCAGCAGTAGAGACTACGAAAGCTTCTTTGAAAACAGTTAGGAACCAATGGGAGAGGCGGCATAAACACCGGCACGCCGCGCGGTGCAGCCATGCACCAGAGAAGCCCTGGGATGCGCGGGGGCCTCAGGGGGTGCCGGGACCTGCAGGCTCCGCCTCCCTAAAGCCCCGCCCCTCTGCCTGTCCCACTCCACCTCGGCTTTCGGCAGCTCCTCCCACGCCGGGACTTACAGGACAGCCTAACGGCCCAATGAGCTACCCGATGATCAGAGAGGGCGTCCGGAGAGCCAATCCCTGAGCGGCGCGCGCTGCAAAGGCGGGCCGGCGTGACGGACAGCGGAGGAGGCGCCAGGCTGGTTGCTAGCCGCCGCCGCTCGCCCCTGCGGACAGCGTTTTATTGTCACCCACGGCGGAGGCCGCGCCAGCCCCGTGGGGCCCCGGGTGGCTCTGCAGCCGCGCCCGTCAGGCCGAGCCCACGGGTCCTGCGCCCCAGGCTGGGTCCGCGCAGGTGAGGGGCGTCTCGCGGTGAGGGATCGGGCCCTGCAGCGAGGACGGCCTGTGCCCAGTACCCCCAGCCCCGGAAGATCGCCGTGGGGTCCACTCGGGCGGCCCCAGAACTCCTGCCTTAAACCTCGAGAGGCCTTGGGGATGCGGGTCGCCCGCGGAGGAGCACAGCAGTGCGCTGCCCAAAGGCCCTGCTTCTGCGAGTCAGCCGGGCCCCAAAGGGAGCAGGCTCCTGCCCCTCTGGCTCCTGGGAAAGGCACGGTTTTGTCCAGGGTGAGGTTGGCCTCCCCAGCCTCTCGTCTCGTCGTCTGGCTTGTAGGTTTCCATGGAGAGGCTATGTTTACCGCCCAGAACCTCACTGGCTGCACGTGGTGCTGGGAAATCCATATCCGCCAGACTTAGGAGCTAGCCACAGTCCACCAAGGTCTAGCCAGTGCTAAGAAGGGCAAGGTGTAGGTTTCACCTATACAACCAAAAGTGTGTAACAGAGGACACTGGCCAGACTGATGGCAGAGCAGCCTCAGAGTAGGGATACTGCCCCCCACCACACACACCTGGACGTCAGTACCAAGGCAGCTTGACTTTGGACCATGGTGAGTGTATGCTCCTGGCTCTGCAAGGGAATTGTAATCACTTAACATTGTCCCATGTCCCTATCTCCCCCAGGACTCAGCACCTCAGTCCCTTCCACACATCAGGACCTGAGACTTCGTGGTCCCTGTTCTCTCAGGGGAGTCCTAGCGAGAGCAAAACAGTTTGATAGAGGAAAAGCTGACGGGCGGTGTGGAGGCAGGGGGATTGCAGATGCAATGGTGTGTTGTGACGCTCTGCCTAGATTCGAGGAACAGCAGGAAGGCAGGCTTAGTTAATGCACAGTGGGGGCTGCTTGTAGAGAATATCTCAGGTCCTCAGATTTACTCTGCAGTGCTGAGAAGCTTCCCCTGGGGGTGTAACATGAGCTGAGAGCCGTATTGGGTAACATGAGCATGGGCCCTGGCCGGATAGCCTGCTATACTTGTGCAAAGCACTTGACCCAGTGGCTGGACCAGGGATGGTCCCCAGGTGAGAGGGTAGATGAGGAGAGATTCTGGGGATGTCCAGGAGTCTCGGGCTTTCGGGGATGAGAAGAGCCAGTGGGAGACTGCAGGGGAGAGTACCCTGCAAGAGAGGTATCAGGGAGCCTCTGAAACAGACAAGAGTTCATGGATGTTCTGTGGTGATGCAGGGACTTAGGAATCCACATCTTACTAGAGGAGCTTGAAGCTGTTGAGGGATCTCCAAGGTCCAATCTGAAAGCCACATTTACCTCAGGAAGATGCACTTAAAAAAAAAAAATGTAGAGAATGTCCCTCGGCTTTGGTAAGTGGCAGGGCCAGGCTCACACCTGCCACTGCCTGCTGCTAGCACCCTCAGGGATTGCCATTGAGAGCCCAGTAAAATGTTTAGAACAGTCTTGTCTTCTCATGATCCTGACTGAGCTTCCCTATCCCCAGTGGTGGCTTCCGGGAGTTTCAATGGCGGGTAGACCCAGATATCCAGGGCTAGTGGAGATTGTGCGTGCAAGGGCTGAGATTCCTCCATGGTGTCTTGTCTCCTCCTCCCCCTCCTCCCCCTCTTCCTTCCCCTCCTCTACCACCTCCTCTTCCTCTTTTTCTTTGTTTCTTGAGGCAGGGTTTCTCTGTGTAGCCCTGGCTGTCCTGGAACTCGTTCTGTAGACCAGGCTGGCCTCAGAACTCGTAGAGATCTGCCTGCCTCTGCCTACCAAATTCTGGGATTAAAGATGAACAACCACGCCAGTGAGAAGGGCCAGGTGGGCTCGCCTGGGACGAGGCTGCCCACACCTCAGGACCTGTCCCTGTTAAATACTTGGATACAATTCAAGAAGAGTAAAAGGCGTAAATAAGCTAGGTGGTGTTGTACACTTTTAATGTCAGCACTCGGGAGACAGGGGTAGGTAGAGCTCTATGAGTTTTGAGCTAGCCTGGTCTATAGAGTGCGTTCCAGACAGGACAGTCAAA